CCCCGGCCCCGCGCAGCCCCTCGCAGCGCGGTGGACGTAAGCGGAGCCCCGAAAACTTTCTTGCCTGAGGCTTCCCACCCTTCCCTTCTCTGGCACGCTCTGGGAAAGACGGTGACAAATACAGTAACATCTATCCTGTAATAAATACAAATAACAGGAGCAGTATCCCGTTCTGTGAGTGCTTACGCAGCAATAAGGGCTATAATTAAACCTCTCAAGGAATGAAGCTTAATATTTAGATTAAGTTGCTGGAGGAGCTTTGAACGCGATCTCCCTCTTAGCTCTCCACCCGCGTGCTTTCGCCTTGCTCTGACCACGTAGCTCCGTGCTCCCTCGTGCAGGGAAATGGGAATTTGCTCACGTTTTTTCCATAGTTGAAAAATGAAATAGCATGTTGACACAACGCTCTCCAGGCTGCTGTCTTTTATGGTCAAAGTGTTAATAGAAACTCCTAAAAATAAACAGCCTCTGCTTGGCTCTGTACGGTCCTCTTTACATACAGTTTTTTTGAGCTATTGCTCAGATTTGCTAAAAAGAATAACACATTTCAAAATCTTGTTGTCGCTGATCCTATGCTGCTTCCCACTAATTATTTTATTAGTAACTATATGGCAACAAGAAAGAGGGAATCCTAGTCCGTGACTCTGAAGATTACAGCTTTTAGATCTTTGAGACATCTGAAATTGCTGTTATTATGATGTTTATAACTCATTATTAAATTTCCAAAGCGCTAAATTTTCAGGAAAAAAATACTAGGCATAGAACAGTAAATTAATTAGAAACCAATTAACCTCCATGACAACAAAAGATACATCCTCAAAATAGAAAATGAAAAAAGCAACAACCCAAACCGACGGCACTCTTTCGAGGCTCGAATTGCCGTGCTTTGGTTTCCTGGGGGTTGGAACGGGAGCTCCAGGGCTCTGTTCCTTTGCCAAGGCTCTGCCGTGGTTGAACATTTCCCGCGTTGGGGTGGCCGTAGGCTGCAGGGTGCTCGTGCTTGGTGCACGCCTTCCCCCGACCGCTGCCCGCTCTGAGGACCTGCGGTTTGACGCATGCGTTTTGGGGCCTGTTCTCAGCTCCACGCTCGCCTTGGGAGAGCCCGGACATGTCCGATAACCTAGTGAGATATCATGGGGGCACCAGTTCCTTTTCTGTTTCCTTTTCGTTAATCTTCTTGGAATATAATAATTTGGGGGCCCCTTGTTCTTTGTGAAACGTGGCTGATGTTAGCCAGCAGGTTCAGAAGATGTCGGGGTAGGCAGGAAGCGAGAGCTGTGCTCAGAGTGAGCAAGTCTCATCTCTGAAGGAAACCGGCCTAAAGATAGCCTGGAGACTTCACGTTTCCTTTATTACTCGTGGGTTTTTTTTTTTAGGTAGCTGGTCCTGTTAACAATAGCGATCCTTATCGCCGCTTCCCCCCGGAGACCTCGCGCAGCCTTCAGGCACGTCTGGGAGGATACCGGTGGCATGTGCTGGTTTTTCCCACCTCCCTCCTGGAGCCCACGGGTGCTTCAGCATCACAGAGCAGGGCTACAAAGTAGTGCCAGGCAGAAAGCCTGGCGAGAAAAAAGTCAAACTAGCTACTCAAAATGGTAGCATAAAAATCCATGCTGTTTTTTTTTTTAATTTTCCCCTCCACGTCTTAGGAGTTGTGTTTGTTAACAACCTGCTGATTTACTTTTTTTAAAATGCGCTTAGATTTCTGTACGGCAAAAACTGTAGTCTCATGCTTTATGAACACTTGGCTGGCTTAAGTCGTAATAAGATTACAGAGAATTATGAGGCCTTACTTTTATTTATGATTCTGTTCTGTGCTCTTATCTGTATACATATTTGTATGTGTGTGACTCTAAAAAAAAAAAAAAATCTGTTTTTTAAAGAGGACTTGTCTGACAATGAGGAAATGTTCCCGAAAGAAATAACCAAATGGAGTTCCAATGATCTGATGGATAAAATTGAAACCCCTGAATGCGATGATGTCCAGGGTAAATTTTTTTTTTTTTGTAAGTAAAAACTGCATGTGGCATTTTACAGTCTTTCCTTGTAATTGTTACAGCCACATTCTGAAAAAGGGAAAACTTATTATCTTCATCTCACAAAAGGAAAAGCTGAGACGGAGCATAAAAATAACTGTCCAGCGCTGCAGAAAGAGAGCTGCCCAGTGGGAGCTGGGAAGGGGAAGCTCTCGATTCCTCTTTATTTTCCACTTTGGTTCAGCTCCTTCCTGTGACAAACAGGATTCTCCGCTATAATGATGAAATATTCCAGCTTAGGCTTGAATTACTTGAATTTCTCCCAACTCTTCTTTACTCTCGCTCCTTCCTTTGTTCTCACCTGTGTCTGCCTCGGTTTTATTTTCTGCTCACCTTTGTGGTATTTTGAAAGGAAGCAGACTCCTCAACCAGAGAGCGATTCATGTAGCCGCGCGGTGGAAGATGACACTTAGGCTTCCTGCAACAAAGTAGATCTGCGTAGGCGCAGACGCACGAACACATCAGACCTCTGCTCCCGCGGCACAGCTCGAGCAGTTCCTTTTATTTTCCCGCAAACTGAGGATATCGGACAGTTGGGCCCGGGTATCCCATTGTTGCCATGTTTTAAAAAACGCGAGGATACGGGCTCACTGTAATGAGAGACGAGCTTGCTAATGCCCTCGTCTTACTGAGGTTATGAGACCTTGCTGGAAAGAAGCGAGCCTGCATTGCCCAGGCTTCCACAGTGGGCAGGGAGGGGGGCGCAGAGGGCGATTTTATGGAAATAATTAAGGTGATCTGGGGCTGAGAGGCATTGGCACGATCAATGCCCTCGTGAGAGATTGTCCTTGCCGACCAGCGGCTCACACCGCTGACGTTTTAACCCTCTGTGCTTCCAGGTGACTTGTATCACGAGACGTCGGCAGAGTACCACGTCGCCTCCAGCGTGGAGCGGCTCAGCATCATCGAGGTAAGCGCTCCGGCGCCGAGCTGCCCGCTCGCTGGGACGCGCGGCTCCCCGTGCTGGCGGGGGCTTAACGTCGGTGCGTGTCGTTTGGAGGTATGCAATGTATTTCGTGGCTAGGTTTAAGGGATTGTTTCACCTGTCTTGCGAACACTGGATAGAAACCGTGCTCTGCAGTTTTTTGGTGGGGGGGGGGGTCCAAGGGGCACGGCTCCGCTGCAGCCCCCTTGCAGAGCTGCTCAGGGCCCTGCTCAGCAGCCAGCTTTCGCACAGCCCGTGCTAGAACAGAGCGGGTGCTCTGCATACAAAGCCCTGGCTTTCCAGCCTTTGAACATACAGGCTTTTGCAGTTCAGTGTCCTAGTGAGACGAGACGTCTCGGAGTGGCTGCAGTCATCCTGCCTGTGGGCGTCTGCCCATCCCTGCTGCCTAGATGACTTCCCT